ACCACTGAATAATTGCGTGTGATGGTGTACCTTCTTTTTCCCCCAGATTAATCTCATTTAAAAAAAAAATGTCCTCTTACCACATTATTATATCCCTTGGAATAAAATACACATCTTGTTTTTGAAAGGCAGAATGAAGAAAAAAGATTTTCCCACTTACGGCTGCATAGATCAGAGAGACAGTCTAATCTTCAGATGACCCACCCTCCCTTTCCTACTTAACTAAAGCTGGAAGCCTAGCTGCTGCTGAAGACTGGTCCCCATGGGTGGATCTATGATTTTGAAAACAACTAAAGAATCTCCAGGGCTACAATATAAGAGAAGCATGACCAGGAGCAGCTAGCAGACAGCAAAACTGCCCTAAGGAAGATTAGCTTGATTAGTGGAACATTGAGAGCATTAAAAAGGGGAGACATCTGTGGAGCGAAGAACAATGAGCCCTGAAGTCAATAGATTCCCTCAGCTACCTGAATAGTAATACCACAGCTGCTGCACTGTGAAGCAGCAATTAAAGCAGAGTGCTTCTATCCTGGGAAGAAAATCAGATTTCTCACTTAATACAAGCACCCTAATTTTGGGGAGAAAGGTGTGCGTTGTATGTTAGAAACTACATTATTTATTACTAGTACTGGCCCAACATACTAGGAACTGTGCAAGCAGAAAAAAAAGATGGGACTGTTTTATATCATAGCATGAATCTATGTGAACAAAAAACCAAAGTGCAATCTTTATTGGGTGTAGAATAGATGAAGTTATACATTTCCATCTGAAAAGTTTGCATTTATTCCTAAAACCCAGTTGCAGAGCTTGAAACTATAAACAGAGCCAAGTATAAAAAGAGTCAACAAAAGCTTCTCTTCAATGAGAACTGCTTCTCAGTTCTGATTTCATAGGTCTCTCGCAGGGCACAATGCACGAACACAACAGACCTGTTAATCGGAATACTCATGTAAGTAAGACTGTGCTCTGCAGCACTCGGTTCTAAAATGAGCTTACAGGTTCTGTATTTCTTTTTAGTGTGCCTAATAACTTACGTCCTGTTCTTGTTGTAATTTAATTGTAAGAGGGTTGCAAAACTTCATGCTCTGTTAGAGATGTAACAAACATTTTTTGCACCCTAGGCAGCAGCGGCAGCTGGGTCAACAGCAGCAAACAGCTGCCATTTTTGTGCCCCCTCTAAGTCTGTGCCTAGGAATGGTGACACGCTCATCAACCCTTAGTTATTCTGTTATAGGTATACCAAACGATTTGAACTAATTTAAGTTTATAAGATTTGTTACCTCTTCTCAATTAATGAGCCAGATCCTGGGATCCTTGTTAATCCTTATTCAAGCAAAGTTCCCTTGTACTTCAGTAAGAATTTGGTCTTAGTAAGAAAACATAACAGGGCACTGCAGGGTTGGGCTATAGATGAACAGCAAATCAAAGCAAATTCTCCAATACAATTTTCTATTTGCACCCAACAACAAATGTTATACTGTACTTATTTATCTTGTTATCTTTTCTGAATGATATTAATGTATTTCTGAACAGAATCTTCATCTGTCTTTGCAAAACCATGTATCTGTGCATACTTTTATACCCAAACAATCACTCATTCTGACATATTTCATATCTATACCTGGCAATTCAGACAAGTATATATGACAGGAAATGGACAAGTAAAAATGATCCCTAAGTGAGATGTGGTAACTAAATACTTATGTATAAGAAAGTTACACAGGCGTAACTTAACAGTTTGCTTGTTTTTTTAAATCAATGCAATTAAAATCATGCAAATCCTCATGCAAATCCCTGGAATAGAACTCTTATTCCTTTTTAAGACCAGCTTCTTTCAGTTTATCTTAGATCTGTTTCCAATCATAGAATCACAGAAAATGAGGGTTGGAAGGGACCTCAGGAGGTCATCTAATCCAACACCCTGCTCAAAGCAGGACCATCCTCAACTAGATCATCCCAGCCAAAGCTTTGTCTAGCCGTGCCTTAAAAACCTCCAGGGAATCATATCAACCTAAACTAGAAAAAAATCACTTGTAGGGAAGCATAGGAAAGTAGACCTAGAAGGAACCTCCTGTGTTCACCTATAGTATGTAAAGACATTCGGGGAGATTAGGGAAATGTTAGTTAGAGTTAAAAATGGCCACTTGATCTAAGGTAAATTGGGATGCAGGGTACAAGCAGGGTCTGTGGAGGGGGTGAGGGGATTGTGGGGGCAATCAGGGTCCATAGGCAGGATTGGAGGAACTAATATAGTCCATCGGGGAGGGGCTGGGAGGGTTTGGTGGGATTGCAGGGGGGGTAT